TGTTGCTCTAGAAAAATCTCAAATGGTGCTGTGTGATTATGTTAAAAAGGAAGTTCCATCAACATGGGATCCTGCAGCATTAGCAAGGTAATATTTGTTGCGTATTTGGAACTCTTAAACATTGACATTTTTTTCCTTCGTATTTCAAGATAGTCTTCATTGTCTGAAGGAGGTCCAATTTTAAAAACAACCTTAGATCCATACTCTATGTGGCTCTCGCTTTTACTACCCTTACTGTCTAATCAACTTTTTGACCATTTTGTTCCCTTTTTATATGAGAGAAGAGAAAGGAAAGTAAACAGTTAATGACACCTCAAATAGTAACTGTATGTCAACGTCCTTCAAGTTTTATGTGAAGTCTTTTTTATTTACTTGAGGCATTCTAGTTGATCAGAACCATAGAGCTCTCCAAGTTACAAATTGAGTAAGAGGGCTTTGATGCAACTGCTTGATACCTCAAATAATGATTGTACGTCAATGTATTTTGAGTTTTTGCATATTCCTTTTTATTTACGCGAGGCATTTTAGTTGATCAGAATCTTAGAGCTCTCCAAGTTACAAACTTGAGTTCTGGGCTTTAAAGCAACTGCTTATTAGGAGACTATCTGGTATCCACCTTCAATTTACTTATAAACTGGTCAATTACAAGCCACACATTGTTTACTGGAAAGTTCTAGTCTATTAGACTTTGTCATACTAGTTCTGACATTATGTTCATTCTCCAGGTTTATTGAAAAATTTGGTACTCATGTCATTGTTGGTATAAAGATGGGGGGAAAAGATGTAATATATATGAAACAACAGCACTCCTCATCGCTTCTGCCCGCTGACGTGCAAAAACGTTTGAAGACAATGGCAGATAAGAGGTTTTCAGGTGCAAATGAACAAGGGGGAGTAGAATCGCAGCAGACACATCAGAATGAGAAGGTAAAGGATATCATCTGACCCTCCAATTTCCATAACTATGACAAACACTCACAAAAACATGAGTTATGTTCTTACGTGAAGCTTTTGGAGCCTGTGCACTAATTACATTTTCTATTTTAAGAAAGGGATTGTGAAGGCCAGATTGATGGATGTATCAATCCTTTTGGATTCAGAAACAAGATAATGTGAAGTTTATGTTTTTCTATTTCTCTTGTACCTTTATGACTCGGAAGTGATTCTGACCCAAACAATTTAGGGTCTTTATGTGTCATCAGTCATTGCTATTGCTTGAATGGTCATAATTTCCAACCTTATTCTCGGTTATTTTGTAAAGTCCTTTCTCTCTCCTTGAAATGTTATTTTAAAAATCTCTGCAATATTTGCTGAATCAGAAAGGCTTGTAAGATCTTCTATGGCCGCATAGACAATGTCAATCAATATCTGCAGATGGATTTACTCTGTAGCTCATTTGTCTTACAATTGGATATTAGTTGAAATCCTTATTGTCAAGTTCTAAGTAACGTCTTTTGTCATAACCATTAGATTAATAGAGAAAAAAATCATGACATATTATTATGTATTACGTCACAATTATTATGAATCTATTGTCTCTGTCTCTGATTTGATAATGTTGCCTCAGTTTGAAATCAGGGAGCACCGACTGAGGTTTGCCGATCCCAATATATCAGGTTCATATGCACATAAGGAGGTAGGTGGTATAGAATTTTCATCAGGTCTGTAAAATTTTGTGCACTTTAGAGTTCTGAAACAAGTTTGTCAACTTGCCCATTGGCTACTGAAATTGCAGGATACTGTTTGTATTTGCAAGAGGAGAGGTGGAAGTGATAGCAGAGGCCTGATGCATAATCAGTGGTTACAAAGTGTTGATCAGGAGCCTGATGTGATCTCAATGTCCTTCATTCCTATAACTTCACTGTTGAATGGCATCTCAGGAAGTGGATTTTTAAGTCATGCTATAAATTTGTACTTACGCTGTAAGTTAGAGCATATTATTTGTTATTTTCTTGCTTCTATCCTGTGTGTGATATAAGTTTTAGGCTTCCATGTACAATGCACATTGCTAAATGTAACATTTCCATTTAATAGTTATGGTGCTCAAACTGTCCAAAAATGTCGCTGCACCTGTGTTGGATCCTCCAAAAATACACTAGTTTTGGAGGATCCGACATGCACCTATTGTCAATTTTGAAGAGTCTGAGCAACATATATTATGGGCAAACAATAGGATGGAGGAGGGCCTGTTGAGTTCATGCTAATTTTGAACCTCTTACAATTAGTAGTTTTGGGCAAAATATAAGTTGGAGGAGGGCCTGTTAAGTTCCTGTATTTTGCACCTTTACGTTTACATTTTCTTAAAATATTAATGATTTTATCAAAATAAGAAGTGGAAGTGCCTACTGAGCCCGGCTAATTGTGGGTCTAAAAGATGATGGCTGATTCAAATATGTTTGCATTTTCTCAAAAAATTAATGTGTTGTCTGATTTTGGAGTATTTTTTAAACCTTGCAAAACCTTTTTCACTTTCAGCCACAAATCTTCGACTCTCGTTAACTTATTTTCCAAGTGAAGTTCATGTCCACAACTTCAACTTCCACAACTTTTTTCTTTTGAGTTCCAACTTTAAATATTCTTTCCCCTTCCCCAATTTCAACTCAAATGTTGTCAAACAGCTATCCTTTATCAAGATTTTTTTTTACACTGTATTAATTGCATGGGATATTTTATTATGTAATTACCTGGAAATTCTGTCCTTAATTCTTCACCTTTATATGGAAGTGTGTCTATTTATGCAGATAAACCACCAATTGAAGAGCTTCACCAGTTTTTGGAATTTCAGCTGCCAAGGCAATGGGCACCAGTATTCGGTGATCTTCCGCTTGGTCCACAGAGAAGGCATTTAAGTTTTCCGTCTTTGCAGTTCAGTTTACTGGGTCCCAGGCTTTATGTGAACACCACTCCGGTGAGCTCCCTTAATTTTAACACCTCAATTTTCTATAGAAGACCTGCAATGGAGCAAAAGGTGGTTTATATTCTCCTTCTGCTCCTTGTGTAGCAGCACCAACTCAAAACAATCCCGTCATCTTCCTTAAGTCATTAACATTGCATATAACACCACCTCAAGGGAAAAGCTATGTTTTTCTTTGGGAGTGGTGTTCCATATCTTAATCCAAGCCGCCTTTTTTCCCATCTCAACTAACTCCATGTAATATGATCCCAGTCAAGGGTTCTGTTTCGACCCTCACTATATCATCTGGTCTTCCAGTCTCACCTTACTAGCTATCATAGTATTCGTCAGATACTCCTCAACCTTATTAATTTTCAACCCTAGATGTCTTTTTGGAAGCTTCTATCCCATGTGGTCCCTTGTCATCCTTGTTAAGTAATACATTTTTTAAAAAAGTTATCCTTCAAAAAGGATCAGTTACATCCTCTCTGAAGTGTATCCTATTTACTTTTCCTTCCATCTCTTGATCACTTAAGTAAATTCGCCCCATGAGAGGTTGTCGCCTCACCCGATAACCATCTATTATGAAGTTCTTACTAAACAGCTATTATCTTTTTCCATAAAGTTTTCTCTTCTCAGACAAATCTAATTATGCTACTGGCAGCACCATGTTAAATGTGGACAATCCAAATTCTAACTCCAAATTAACTGGGGGTATACTTTTCCAATCTTCCAAATGAAATTTCTTCTCCCTCTTCTTTCCTAATAACAAAGAATTTCTCATCATTATCTCCAATTAGTTTGCAACAATTCATGGAATATAAAACAAAAGTCATGCTATTTGTGGTTATGTTAAATAGGTTGACTTCAAACTATGCCATCTTTGGATTTTGTAAGGATTTGGCTGTACTTGTACACATGATCCCTTAAAATAATGTTTTTAGCAGAGGATGTGAGACAAGAACTAAATCACAATGTGTGCGCTTGTGAATTATTATGGGTGAGGAGCAGCTCGGAGTGCATAGCTAACTGTTTTCAATCTTTAGGAAGATTGTTTCCATTTACTTCCATTTTTAGCTTCTAATTGGGTTCACTTTGCAACATGAGATGGAAGCTCCCACTAGCTTCTTTTGGTCTTGTATCAAATGCTCGGGATCAGGAAAGGAAGAAAAAGGAGGGGAAAAAATTGTTGATTAGTCTGCTTAGTACCTTCTTTCCAGGCGTCCATGTGATTCATAATATTCTTGCAGGTTGATGTTGGCAAGAGGCCGGTGACTGGACTTCGTTTGTACCTTGAAGGTAGAAGGAGTAACCGCTTAGCCGTCCATTTACAGCATCTTTCATCTCTTCCTAAAGTCTTCCAACTTGAAGATGATCCAAAAGGCAACTTTCGCCGAGAATCATATGATCGCAAATACTATGAAAAAGTTCAATGGAAGAACTTTTCTCACGTTTGCACCGCACCTGTTGAATCTGATGAAGACCTTAACATAGTTACTGGAGCACAATTGGAATTAGGGGATTATGGGTTTAAAAAGGTCCTCTTTCTGAGACTCCGTTTCTCGACTGTCATGGGAGCTACTATGGTAAAGCACGCTGAGTGGGATGGTTCCCCTGGGTTGGCTCGCAAATCTGGCCTGATATCAACTCTCATTAGCCAGCACTTTACATCAGTTCAGAAGCCACCTCCTCGGCCAGATGATGTGAACATAAATTCTGCCATTTACCCTGGTGGTCCTCCAGTTCCTGTGCAAGCCCCTAAGCTCTTGAAATTTGTCGATACTACTGAGATGACTCGAGGACCACAGGAACCTCCTGGTTATTGGGTTGTTTCAGGTGCAAGGCTTATGGTTGAGAAAGGAAGGATCTCTGTGAGGGTCAAATATTCCTTGCTAACTGTAATACAACCCGATGATGAAATATCAGAGTAATTTAGAAGAGGTTCTCTTTTATTCATACTCAAAACAATGCAAATGCTACAGGGAGAAGTTGCAGTGTAGTTTGTTGCTGGCTTTCTTGATGTTGAAACACCTGTTGTACAAAATCTGGCGGAAGTGCCAAAAAAGGGGATGAAGCAACTGTTCTCTACTTTGAGATGTCTCTAATCTTTGTTCTGATTTTGTTTGCGCTTAAATGTAAATCATGACAATATTGATTGTAATATAATTCTCACTTCTCCAAAAAATCTCTTTGAACCTCTTTCCTATGCTCACTATGATGTTTAACCAATTAGGGAAGTCACAATTGTTTGATTGATTTCAGATTTATGCACAAAACATTAGCCATGTTTCCTAGAATTAGCATCAAGTGACACAAAACTGCTGGAAATAGAAAGAAGTGCATAAGCTCAATAGTCAAAAGACAATACATGGTAAAATAAGCTTACCTCAAAGCAACAAACTAAAAACTCAACCTACTGAACTTCCCAGATCATCCCCACATCTCACATATTGGAAAAGACAATACAGAAAGAGGGGAACTCAGTCAATATACAAAGCAAAAAAACCAAATATGTCACACAAAAACAATGAATGTCCCTTCTTCCCAATGTTCCAAACTTCAGTTTTCGCCCGACAGCTAATTTTACAGGTCTGAGCATATGGTAAGAGAGTGCTAGATTCTGCAATTGTTGAACTTTTTTTATGGTCACATTAGGATTCATAAATATGATAATACAATAATTAGTCTTGTAGAATCATTAAGAGAAGGGAAAACTATGTTCATGGGAAGGCCAATAAACCCCTTCCCTTGGACAAGCCAATGGAGTTGGCTTAGCAATGAAGGTAGGATACTGTTGTCCTGGCATCATAACTGTATAATCCGATGAATATCGCGTTGGTACCTGTTCATACAAAAGATGATCATTTTAAGATTAAATCAAGTGGAGGGAATGATGTTTGAACCAAAAAAAAAAGAAAATGCTCCACACTTACTGTTTCTGAACTTGCACGTTTCTGAATAGGCCCCAACTCCAAGGAACTGTGTCTACTACCTAGAGGCGAAGAGAAAGGAGGGCTAGGTTTGAATAGATGTTCAAATATGGCCATGATGAGAAACATGGATATGAGTATAGCTGTAGCAACAAAGCCAAAAGAAATAGCATCCATTGATGTCCCGAAATTCTTCCATTGTCCTTCTCTGTTTACTTGTGTTTGGGAAGGACTAGGTTCTGAACTTGTGTGAATATTGTTCCATGGATTTGATCTTTCTGAACCAACCTCACTCATATTCGTATCCACGTATTTCATTGATCAATATCAACCAAGTTGAGGTCGACTATATGAATCTTCACTGTCCATGTCAGACCATATAATCTTATCTCAGTCCAATATTTTATCAAAACAACAACAAACAAAAGGACAAGTTCTCTAATAGGACTAAAAGACTCATTAGAAAAATCGACACGACGAAAGAATGCTGACAAATCTATCATGGGAATTTAGAACTTTACTTCTATATGATAAAGCCATAAGAAAACAACTTCATTGTAGCAAAAGTGGTGTTTTTTAGCTTTGAAGTGAAGAGAAATATCATGTTTTCTTGTTTTTATTAATTTATTATACAAATGATGATCTCCAAGAAAAAAGTATAGCTTAATAAAAACTATGCATACCCTTAACCTTAAATCAACACACACAATATTCACTTCATCATCAAGCAATATCAGTTTCCCATTTTTTTTAACACACTTAAAATAATACAGGTAAAAATCATGAGCTGCAAAAATAGAGGAGAAAATACCTTGAATCTTGCTCTGTGATGTTATCTACTTGGAAATAAGAATGTGATAAATAAACATAAATTTTTGAAAGAGAATTTAATCCTGAGAAAGATTAAGGACTTCGTATATTCTATAGTTTCATGTGATAGAAAGAAACAGACAGACATATGACTCCAATTTTATTGAAAATCACAGCTCAAACTAGGTAGCTTTATACCTAGTTGGAAAGAAATATAAAGACAAAATTATAAGATAATCTTAGTTACTAGACTTTTCTTTGGAATTAAGTTAAAAAAAATCAATATATTTTAACTATAGTGTTATACGTAACGTTAGACCTAATAATATAAGAAAAAATCATACACCTAAAGTCAGTGCACAAAAGTTGAACTCTTTTTGTTTTCTTTTGGGTTATGTTGTTTATTGTACATGATCTTGATGCCAAACTTAATCAGTACTATACCTTTGTTTGTACATTTAGGGAAGCAAACTTAAAGAACTCAAAAAGTGTTGGCCCTCTTTGTCTGTAGAGCCTAAAGCAAAGAGTGTGACCCCTCTTTGATGCTTGCAAAAGCATTCATTTTCAAGATACCATAATTCATGGCTTTCTCTTAAGCTAAATTCAATTCCAATTTTATACGATTAATATAATTTTACATGTCATGATACTTTATTTTCTTTTATTAATAATGATATGTCTGATTGTCTATTTATCAAAGAGGCTAAAGCTCGCGCGATTGGACTCATACTAGCTGCCTAACCCTTTGCTCCAAGGGTCGGTAGATTAGAAAGTGCTTTAATACGAGATGTAATAGACTGAGATCTTTATTAATTTTGAAAAATTAAGAATCGAAAAAGAAGAAAAGGTAATATATATAAAAGGGCATAAAACTATAAATTTTATTAATCAATAATATATTGTATAGTCAAATTTAGAGTTTCTTTTTACGAAGTTTACATAGAAATAGATGGTAAAAAAAAAAAAAAAAACTTAAGGTTTCATTATTCAAAGTTAGCAAAAACATACAAACAAAAAAAAATGATTTCCCACTAGATAGTCAGGATAAGCAAAAACTGCCAAACAATTTTATTTTTTTATTTTTCTAAAAAAGAAAGAAAAAAAAAAGCTGCAGCTGGTGGAATTTGTGATAATCTTACAGCTAATGCTATACCAGAAGAGCCATGATTCAATTGAAGAAAGAAAAATAAAGTTTTTTTTTTATAACCAAAAGGAGAAAAGACAGAAAAAAAAAGTTAGTGATTGAGACCATTTTTCTTGATTACCTTAACTAATTATATTAGAGCTCGACTATTCTAAATTCACACTGCACAGAATCTATTAAAGAAAAGCAGTTACTTATTAAGAATATTTTCATATCTCATATTCGAATACAAAATATCTAATTAAAGAAAGAAGCAGTCTCATACGCTCCACCACATATCATATCGGGTGGTACACCATTTTCTTTGATTTATTGTTCAATTTTACCTACTTAAAATCTTTGTCTACTAAACCCCACAAGCTTTTTGTCAGAAGCACTAATAGTAGCTTAAGTTTCTTGAATTATTTGCACAATATCCACTTTTATGTTGAAACTTTATATCCATCCACCCCACTTCAATTCTGGCTGCTCTCTATGAGAATGGTCTAAAATATGATAATTTACTTGAAGCAGAAATGAGAAAAAAATAAAAATGTGAAAGTTCTTCTTTCTCTTTTTTTTTTGTTTAATTGTGACGTGTCTCATTTTCATTAACCTTGACTATTTCTCACTAAATAAGTTCAATCGTACTATATGTCATGCTCACTGATATCACTAATTCGATTACTCAGAAAATAGGCTAAAACTTATGGTATCTCATTTTTATTAGTCAGACTAATCTAATTTCGTGTTAAGTAGGTACGGTTTCTAAGGGCCCATTTGGCTATAAGATTTCCCAAATAATATTTGGAAAAAATTTAGCAAATAATGTTTGTCCATACAATTTGTCATTATTTGGCAAATATCTCAAATACAAGTTTTTTTTAATATTTGGGCCAAATCTCATTATTTGAAATCTTTTGAAGATTAAATTTTTACCCCAAACTTTTATCTTTTACAAAAACACCCTCTAAAGTAGTTGCTTGCATTGTATTACATAAATTTTTATGTGGGACACCAAAATAGTGATAAAATATTTACTGAATATTATATAATGATTTGATTGTTGATGATAATGATGAAAAATTGGCTCAAGGTAACAAGGTCACGTGCTTTGTATATTTCACGATGTATGGAATGATGTTTGTTGCACTCACTCCAAATTACCAAATTGCTCTAGTGTCATGGACACTATTTGTTATTGTTGTAACGAACATCCAATTGACTTGTAATACAAATCTATAGTTAGTTTCGATAGTTTTTAAAATTTATGGGTATAAATTATATTTTTCTCAAAAGGTGAAATATAATTTCCAAATTCTATGGCCAAACACATGGTGAAATTTTATCAATTTTTCACTCAAATAATATTTTCCTAGAATATTTGGATATCTATAGCCAAACGCTAGCTAAAGATGATAATAGGAAGTGAGGGGAAGGAAACATTTTGTTTAATTTTATTTTTATTTTTATTTTATTTTGCTTTTCCAGAGTGTTTAGAAACAGCCCACAAAAAAGAGAAAAAGGAGGGGGGATTTTACAATCTAAATTAGATTATGTTTTCTTCATTTTGGTATTAAAATTATAATGCCTCTGCTTTATTTATATTGGGGTCATCTCAAGGAAAGAGCACAAATTTTTACTACAAAGACATTTTTGGGGGGCTCCAGTTGGCCCATGTCTAGAAGAATAAAGCAATGTTCAGACATTGTCTGCTCTCTCAGTTTTTCCACTTTGTGCCCCCAACCCCCCACTCTAATTTTTAATCTCAAGTTTTCCAATAAAACAAACTTGGCACTTACAAAGTAGTATAATTTACCTTGAAGTGGCAAAGAAGGTAGGAGTGTTATATATAGCAGGTATTAGTTGAGGTGTATAAAAGCTTTGCTCGAGTCTTGATGGATCGAGATATTCAGTGTATTGTTATAGCGAGATGCAGTATTTGATGTAATAGTTGAGTCGTACAAAAAGTGACTCCAAACCATCTTAGTAAAGAGGAAGTTGTTGTTATCATTCATATCAATTGCTTCTTTTCCACATCGCAGGTTTCCTTTGTTTGCTTTATAGGGCATAAAATCCCACTCTCCTTCCATTTCTCTTTTCTCATGATATTTATGTTGACGTTCTTGCTTCCCATGTGAAATGATGCCTTTATTATCTTGAGCTTTTACGTATGATCCCATTTTTCTATGAACAAAAACTAAGCATCAACACATCAGCAAATTTAATGGTATTATCCTGAGCTTTTATCTATGATCCCATTTTTCTATGAACAAAAACTAAGCATCAACACATCAGCAAATTTAATGGTATATGATTACATGTATCTTTAAATATGAAAATCATTAAACATGTTGGTCAAAAGACAGATTATAAATCGTTCATTGTATGTCACGAATAGCTTAGAATCCACAAAAGAGAATAGTGTAATTGCTTACCAACACCAATTTAGGTACAGAAGAGGAGCCAAACGGATTAACATAGAATCATTCTTATAACGAGAACTCAGGGAAATAATTCACAATCATGCCCACGGGAAATGCTAAGCTCTACCCTGTGAAGATAAAGATATCATTTCTGACTCTAGTAAAACATATATCAAGTATGAAAAGGGGAGGATACGGGACATAAAAAAGATGTGCGTCCAAAAAATGCTTATTGAAATAACAAGCATCAACTTTAATCTGACAAAATTGTCACAGTATTGAGAATAAATAAGAAACGACATAGCAACTTATAAATGAAGTTCATCTCCTGACAAAAAAAAAAGCCGATATGATCTTGACAAATTCTCAAGCTTTAATGCGTCCATAGAATTTTGCCTTCTCCTGTGTAGTCTGGAAGCGTCCATGGCCAAACTTGGATGATGTGTCAATGAACTTGAGCTTGATCTCCTCCATTGCAACCCTAGATGTCTGGTTCAACAACGACTGCCTCAAAGTCACAACACGCTTCTTTGGTCCAACACAGCAGCCCTTAATCAACAGGAAGTCCTCTTTCACAACACCATAGTGAGGGAATCCACCGATTGGAGTGATTTCCTTCTCAGTCCTGTCAAACTCAGTAATGGCAGAATGAGACTCCTGTCCAGCCTTGCCCAGCCTGTAGACTTTCTTGTTCATCTCAGTACGATGGTGATAACCATTCTGCCCAGCCCTAGCAACAGTAAATGACACCCTAGCTGGATGCCAAGCACCAATACAAGCCACCTTTCTAAGACCACGATGAGTCTTACGTGGGAGCCGGGTCACGCCCCAACGAGTAACAACACCCTCATACCCCTTACCTTTAGTCACACCAATGATATCAATCATCTCATCCTTTTGGAAAATTGCATCAACGGGAATCTGTTTCTCAAAAAAGCCATAGGCATAATCAACCTTCTGGGCAGCATCCCCACCATTAACCTGAATCTCCATAAGATGTGCCTTCTTTTGCTTGAGACCTTTCATTTTCCTAATCTGCAAAGAAAAAATTATAGGGATCCTTAATCTCTCTAAAGAGAACAATAAGGTAAACATAATGACATTCAAAAAGAGCAAATACCTGAGTATGGGCAAGAACGCGGATCACAGAACAATACTTCTTCATCTTCTCCAACTGTGCATTAATATCCTTCTTACCTTCATCAGTTTCATACTTCTTTGAGTACTTGGCAAAGGCCTTCTTTTTGGACATGCACCAGTTCTTGTAGAACCTCCTTTTGATTTCTTCACTAAGATGCTGAGCCCAGACAGTGCTCAGGCAACGAAGTCCACGTGGTGTTTTCACATAACCGACAACACCAACAACAATCATTGGAGGTGTCTCAATTATGGTAACAGCTTCACAAGTCTCTTTCTTATGGAGCTCTGCACAAATGCAACTCATAAATGACAGAACTATGTTGTATTTGCTTACTAGGAAACAGTTAACAAAGCTCAATATGGGCATTTTCCAAGTAGCCCAACATACGAACATAGTTACTTATCAAGACATTCACAATATAACTTTAAGATTTGTAGCGTGAAGAAACATCTAACATGTATAAACCTAGATCTTTAACGACACATAATTTTCTTAACCCTAATGCCAGCACTGGCATTTGACAGCAGAATCTTCTAAGTAGTAAGCAATACTTACTTGACCCTGGTTTTTCAACTTCTCTGACAATATGGGTCATGCCAGCTTTATATCCAAGGAAAGCTGTCAACCTGCAAGGTTTCGTTGGATCATCTTTGGGGAAAGCCTTCACTGCATAAACAAAAATAGATCAAAAGATTAGATTCACCAAGATATTTTAAACATTACATCCACACCCAACTTCAAGGTGATAATAGACTGGTTGGTTCAAAAATGTCTGTCACCCCTAAAACAAGAGAGACTAAAGTTGTGGAATAAATCCAAAGACAGCACATTCTTAGATTTCTGTCCATTACATAGTAGGTAGGCTTTGAAGTTGCGGTCCATTGTTAAATAAATAAAAAAGTTGAATTTCAATGGTGTTAGTAGTTTCACTTCAAAAAACTCAAAAACTTCAAGACAAATATCAAGTGGGAAAACACACTACCGTATTTGAACTCCAAAATAAGTAACACCTGCTATCAACAGCAATAATGCAATACTAACAAAAATAGAAAAGGATTTGAATTGAAACCTTTTCCTCTGTGTCGCGCAGCTCTTTTCCTTGGAAGAAATCCCAAAGAACCATGTCTTGGGTGCTCAAACTTACGATGCGACATTTTTCCTACCTGTAATAGCTAAAAAAATAAAAGGCTAAGTGGCCTCAACCTTCAAGGAGAGTAAACGAGACAACATATGGGAGTACAAACTTGTAGCTAAGAAAATGGAAGAAAGTATTGCAAGTGGTTTCAATAAAATCAAAATATCCACAAGAAGTGAGATATTTACCATACGGAAAACCAATAGACAGGCTGTCTGTAATCTAATTCAATAAAATAAACACAAATCTACAAACATCTTTAAAATCACTACCGATAATAAACTAATTAACACAAAAATAGAATATCAATCAAACCAACAAAAAGAAAATGCAACATAGAAAAGAACTGAAGTAGAAATACAAAAAATTAAAAAAATGTAAATTAAATATCAAACCAAGTGAAGTACAAAGAGAAGTATAAATATTTCAAGGGTTATTTAAAAAGTGCACAGAGTACATAGAAGTAATTTGTTTCAAAAAATAGCATAAATATTAGACCAAATAACATATACAAATTGAGAAAAAAAATATATCGTGTTGCTCTAGTCAAGTAAGATATGCAGATCAAACACCAATTCTAGAAGATGAATAGAAAAGCTCCCTGACCAAAGGCCTATGGCAAGTAGAACATGCCAATTCTCAGGACTCAACTGTCTTTCATTCCAAAAACCCAAATTAATGGTGTCCTGGTGAAAGAGCCCTTCTGAGACTCCAGCCTTGATTACTTTTCAAGTTGTTATAGGGAATACATTTCTACCACTCCTAATAATTTAGTGCAAATCCAACATTCTTACTTGTAATATAGCATGAAAAGCACGGAAAAAAAATAATTTAAAGAGAAAAAAATGATTTATAAGAACTAAATCACTCAAAGTTCAGTGCAATCGATATTACATCAATCAGATTAAAACGAGAACTCCTTGAGATAAACATTACTTAAATTTGGAAAACGTGTAGCAATCAATCAAACCTCAAAACCGCACTACAGCTATAGGATTATACGAACATTTAAATCAATTCCAAAGCAGTCAGAACTATTCCATTCCGGATTCAACAAAGACAAACATGCTAAACGTTTACCAATAAGTGCTTGAAAAAGTATGAAAAATCAAAGCTACACGGATGAGATCTAGATCAAGATGAACAAATTTCAGTTATAAAACATTACATGCCGAACAGTTGTCAAAATTTGTTAATCAGCTGTATCTAATCACATTACTACTCTATATGTGATGACTAGAATCAGAAGTTCATCAATTTGCTAAGAAGGAAACATAATTGAGAATATTTTGCAAAATTAACCGATCGGAAATTGAACGATATTACCTCAGAGAACTGACGGAATCGGCGCCGGATACAAATGGTAGCTTTCTGGGAACTGTAACCCTATGACACTTTATATAGTAACGGGCGGATAGAATTAGGGTTTCCAGTTGCTGTCTTTTGACATATATACCCCCGTTGTATGCCGCTAAATGATGGAGAGTGGCTGAATGGGCTTAAAATTTGTTCCCATTAATTTTGTGAAATATTTTTATTTAAATACTAGTACAAATTTTTTGCATTTGATTTTTAAAACCTATTTTAAGTTGAAATACTAGTACAAATTTTGGCATTTGAATAAAACTTAATAGTTTAGTATTGAAAAATATAACCACAAATTAAAGAATTGTAACATTTAAAATGTGAAAAGATATTTTCAAACTATGATATTTTTGGTATACTAGTGTTGCAAGAATTAAAATCACACTGATGCAATCTTGTTGTTTTGAAAACCTATTTCTGATATATGATTAATGGGGTTTTTAAATTATAAATTTATCAAACTAACACATAATATATACATTAGATAAAAAGAAATAGATCTCATAATTTGAAGGAGACCATTGGCTTTGAAGATGGTGAACTCATATTGAGATTGTATGTGGTATTCTTAAATTTGACATCATTTTAGTATATACGTAACCAAAATATGTTTGAGTCGACATATTTTTACTTTTAATAGAATATAATACGTCCTATATATTTGGTTTGTGAAATGACATTGACAACCTCTATCATTAGAGCAGGAAATGTGTATATATATATCACATGTCTTGTATGTTAGTATATATCATTGTATATATCGTGTATATAAATTACATACAGCATATGTTGCTATAAAAGTATAAATAAAGAAAATAAAGTGGAAAAACACCAAGAGAGAACTCTTAAAGAGGTAAAGTCATTTTGTATAGTTTTTATTGCTATTTGTTTTTTCTGGGAAAAAAAAATAATATTGTCAATACGATTAACTTGAATTTATTTCTTTAGATTCGTTCAAAAAATCATAATAACAATGATTCCATATGAGTAAAGAAAATCTTTAGCTATGAATGAATTTTTGGAGGGCCTGTTGATCGGCTTGGAGTTCCATGTCTCTGAAGAGTAACTGCTAGAGCGCAACGGCTTAACTTGACATAGCCCATCGGCTTGGAGTTCCATATCTCTGAAGAGTAACTGCTAGAGCGCAACGGCTTGACTTGACATAGCCCAAGCTCTTGCTCAGCATAAATAGTAGCAAGCAAAGGATTAAGTTATTCATTTCTCAAGTAGAGCTAGCTTAGGAGTAGTTCCTCAATAGAAGGTGCATTGATCTGGCCATTTTACAAGACGACTTTCATAAAACATTGGGCCAGGCCCAGTTATTGAGTTGGTGGTCTGAAAATTAGGGCCTATATATTTATGTATAAATTATAGGAACCACATATTATAAATACAAAATAACCATTTATCCCTTTAAGAATTGAAATTACAAAAAATCCCTTAAAAAGCAAAGAAGCGGGATACATCACTCTGGCACGGGATACATAAGAACTGATACATCAAAGTTAAAGGCTGCTGCGATTAATTAGGGTTAATTAACGTGATTTCTGTTATTCTTAACTGAAATCACGTAATTAATGGTCATCAGATTGTGTAACGGATTAGTAGGGATACATCACTCTGGCAAGGGATACATCACTCTGGCACGGGATACATATTAACTGATACATCATAATTAAAAAAGGCTGCTGCGATTAATTAGGATTAATTAACGTGATTCCTGTTATTGTTAACTGAAATCACGTAATTAATGGTCATCAGATTGTGTAACTGATTAGTAAATTCAAATTTTAAATCAGATTAGCTTCATAATTCAAAAATATTCTTGTAAAGGTTGATCTGCATACTAAGAATTCAAAAAAAAAGGTTTTGAAGATGAATATCTCAATTCTGCTGCGGCATTCTGGAATTTGGGTAAGCGATATTAATTATGAAGGTTACAAAGTTGATGGAATTGTTGTTGGCCATTCTATTTCGTTTGTGAATCTGAAAACGTTGATTTTAGCAGAGCTTGAGATCGACAATGTTACAAAGGATATTGAAATACGATACATTGTCGAGGGAAGCTCATGTCCGTTGAAAATCAAAAATGACATGGGTGTGAAACTTTATTTCGAAGTGAAAAAGAATGCAACTGGAATTGGCATGTATCCGCTTTGTATTGATACAACTGATAAAATTGTTGGGGATATACGTAATTTTGATTGTTCATCAGGTGAAGTCGTATGTGTGGAAGGTACCGAAAGAGATACTGAAGCTCTTGCTCTGGTCGAGTCTAGAATTTGTGACATTGATTATATTCCAGAATTAAACTCCAAATTTTATAAATAAATAGATTCAACAGTGGTGCGTTTCCAATGTAACAGTAATGATATAGGAGTTTGTTTGTGTATGTGATGTATCATATAAAGAACATTATTGAAAAGATGTTATGTGTTCCGTGTATATTGTATTTTGAGATATTCAAGTGTACAAAAAATTGATTTGTTCAATTGTTTACTATATGATTCGTGTATACATACTTATGAGTTATAAATTTGATATATTATATTCAACAGTGTTTGGGTTTCAGTTTTACAGTAATTCAAGCTGGGCTTATTTGTAACCAGTTATGTATCAGATACATTCATTTTAGTGAAAAATATGTTATATTTTTCGTGTATACTCCATCATGAGTTATTCTAGTGTCCCAAAACTTGACTTGTTCAAATGTGTACGACATGTTTAGTGTGTACAGCCTTATGAACTGTAATTTTGATATAGTACATTCTAGTGGTGCGTTTCACTGTACTAGTAATCAGGTTAAGTTGTTTATGTATATGATGTATCATATACATTCATATAAATTTCAAGTTGTTAAATATATAACTGCAATATTTTTTCAAGTGTATATTATACTTATGTATCATATACATCATTTGTATAAAGTGAAAAAAACTTAATAATGTATCATACACATTAGAACTTAAGTGTAATATACTTCAGTTTGTAAATTAGCTGTCAAAATAACTTAAAATGAAACACTAAAAAATTTGTAAAGCAACAACTGTTTCTAAAAAAATAACTTGAAAAAATATAACATTCATAACTAATAAAATATTGTAATACCAATAAGCTTTTAGAAAAACACAAAAGATAATTGTCTTCAACACAAAACAACATATAAACTTGTTCATCCTGTCCCAGCTACGTATAATAAGTTACACAGTTGATGTAACTTTTCTTGGCCTTTTTTTCTTGATTTCTTCAGTCTTCTTCTTTGGCTCATCATTGTTGTTCTTCATCAACAATGGGTCATGCAATCGCTTAGATCTATTCTCAGCCCACAGCTCATCATCAGAATCATACACACATTTGAAATTACCACACTCTTCCATGATATTTGTAAACTCACACGATGAATTGAATGAATGAGAAAATCTAGTTAGATGGAAAGATAGTCCTACAAAATAACAAATAGATATGGATGAAAATTTGAAGGGAATTCAAAATTTACCTGCAAGTGGAATGGGGAATTAAAAGTAGAAAAGGAATAAAAATTAGTAAACTCACACGATGAATAAGCTGAAGGAGAAAATTTGGTAGATGGAAAGAGAGTCCTAGAATATCAAATAGATATGGATGAAATTTGAACTGGAATTCAAAATAAACCTGCAAATGTAAACGTGTGGAATAAGGGAATTAAAAGTAGACAATTATACACCTACAATGTAGGGAATTAAAAAGGAAAAGGAATAAAAATTAATATGGTAAATTTTAATTGGGGATGTTAATGGGGAAGTGGGTAGCTTAAAAATAGGATTTAGTTTTTGGTAAAGTTAAACTTGCCAATTGGGTGAAAAAAAGGTGGAAAATCATGATGTATCATTTATATTTTTTTAAATTGGAGGAATAAGGGATTTTTGAAATTTTTAAAATAAGTTGGGATAAATGGTTATTAAGATAATTAAAGTAGTGTATTTAAGTAATTTTTTCTATATTTATTTAGGAAAAGCCCAAATAAGCCCATTTTTTATCCCAAAAAATCACGTGAATGGCCCGTAGACCATGATCTACATGAGCCCAGTGTTGTCCAAATCACTTAACAAAATACGAACAGCTCGCTAAAGCATTAACAAAATATTTATGGAGTTATTGTAAAGTCGTATGTTTTATTTATTTATTTTTTTTGTATAAAATTGTCCCCTTAAATTATATTTTATTTTCTATGATTATGTTTCAAACAGTTTCAAGCAAAGAAGGGCTCGAAACATGGAGAAACTCAACACATTCAGATGTTCAATTTATTACCAAATATTTAATTTTTGCTACAGATTAAATCTTATACGAGTGACATTAATATTTAAAAATTGGCAAAGTAAATCAATGATATAGGTAGATGGACTAGTTGACAAGGAAATTTTACAGACCACATTTATTTATCAAAATATAATGCAATATAAAAAACTAATACATCAATTATATATACACACTCGTAAATAACTTATACATTTATTGGCTATTTTACATAATACAAACTCCTAAAGAATATCATCGCGTAATATAATTATTAAAAATATCTACACTTTTAAATAATAATTAAAAATGTCAAATCAATATTTTAGCAAAAAAAGTGTATTTTAATATAATTCATTTACATTCGTTTTATTTCTCACACTGGGCACACTTTCTAACTCTTTCACGGGTAAAAACAAAAAATAAAAGACTTCATTATCCACTTTTCGCTCTCCAAATTTTTTAACCCAAATTACATCATTTCTATTTCTCTCTTTATCAGGATTTATCTTATTACTAGTAAACTTAACCGCGCTATGCGCGGTCTTAAAGTTTTCATTTTTATTTAATTTTTAAATTCAAATAGATTAGTTAATAAATTTTATCATTTAGCTTTGTAATTTCAACTCAATACATAAATTAATTTTTTCAAAAAATAAATACTTGTATGGTCAAATATCTCTACTTTTTTTTGGTTGAATAGTACCTATTATGTTATGTTAGTTATAATATATAATTAAAAATTTATGACTTCATTATCCATTTGAATGAGTTCTCAAAATTAAATATGGTTAACTTTGATGTTTTGTTAAAAAATT